CAGGGCGCCCGCCAAACGGGCCGGGGCCGGACCCGCGGGGTACGCGCGGCGGCGTGGGGAGCAGAAAACTTCACAAGCAAGGCGGTTTCTGCTCCCTGATTACTTTTTTCTTTGCCGTGCAGAAGGTGGGTTTTTTTGCGGCGCGCCGGGTGTTCAGCACCGAAGTTAGCTCGGCGGTAAGGGCGGGTGCTCCGGAGGTTTTATGCTCTCTAGCGAGCAGCGAAACTAGACGAGTCGCTCCCTGGCCCCAAGCATTTGGTAGTTAAATAAGGAACTGGCGAGCGCTTAAATATTACCTTGAAACAGAAAAGTGCCCCGAGCTCTTCCTGCTGTTTTCACATAAAGAAAATGCTGTGCTTGGCATCGCTTGCTGGGCATGGTTGCACACAGTGGTTTTTAGAAGAGTAAAACCCTTCAGTAAGCAAGCTTGGGTAGCTGCGTTTCTGGTTAACCTTTTTATTTCCAGTAACTCTTTCACTGCTATTCAAGACAAGTTTTACCCGCTGTGAAAGCTGTGAAAGCATCTGCCAGCCCGGCGCCTGAGGGCAGATACTTGATTTGTGTTCCAAGCACGAATTTTCGGACTAGCACACGTTCTTCAGGGCTGGTTAACGCTCCAGCTTCCGATTTCTTGCTCAACAATAAAACGAAAACCATGCAACTATGCGGCGTGGGTGAGCTTTGCCACGCAGGAGGTACATGAGATACGGCAGCAGGCATCTCGACTGAGTTGGTACAAAAAGTTTTAGGTCTGCAGAATAACTTGAATGTGCCTATGTATAACTATATTTACATCTGAACTGTAACCATTCCTTTTTCCTTCTGTGTGGTGTTACCTGGTGTTTTATGATTTCTGTGTATATGTACAATCAAGTTATGAACTGAGCACACACACAAAAGAAAATCTTTTAGCTACTGAACAGCTTTCCCCCCTCATATATTTGTAAATAATTTCCAAAAATGTAATTATATGGAAAATGCTGTTGTATGGAATCTTGCCTTTAGCAGATATGCTTAAAATACTTCATTTTAGATGTGTTTTTTTTGGTTTTGTTTTTGTTTTTTTTTTTCAGTATAAGGTTGTAATAGGAGCTTACTTAGCTTTTAATAGATGAGAGGTTTTCTATCCCTAGCTCTAAGCCTTCACTTCTCTGTCAGTACTATTATGTTCTGTATTTAAATGTTGGCAACTAATTTTAGTCTTTCAGATTCAGCACTTTGTAAGTAGGCTCACTGCAAATCAGATAGCAGTTAAGGTGCTGTAAAAATGATGAACTTCTTAATAATAAGATAAAAGAAACGAGGTCTTGAGGTTTGTGTAGTCATTTAACAAATCAAAATTGAATCAGCTTTTCAGTTCAGAAAGTGGATGCCTGCAGTGTTCTCTGTAGAACAATAGTTCTGTTTGCTCGTGGTCCAGGATCCTGACACGTTCCTGCCCTCCACCCTCCCACTGGTATAATAATTCAGCCTGAATAAAGAACTGAAGAACTGCTTCTCCAACAGGTAGTGGTGGGCAGCACTGTTGGAATTTTAATGATACTGAAATTAGAGCAGGTATCACAGTGCCTTCGGGTGTCACGAGGCAAAGGAAAACTCTCTGCAAGAAGCGTTTGGGGGTTTTGTGGAGCTGTAGGTGGGAATGAGGCTCCTTCTCTCTGCTCCTCCTGGGGATGTTCTCCTCTGCCCCAGCCCCCCTCTCCCTGCAGCCCCCAGCCCCGCTGGCTCTGTGGGTCTCTGTTGCCTCTTCGGGTAGCGGGGGAGTGTTGGGAGACGGGGGGAGCGGGGCTCTGCCCCCAGCACGGGTCAGGGCTGGGGGGATACACAGCAGGGCCTGGCTGCACCGTGGTAGCACTAAGGAGAGTAGCAGAAAGTAGTTAAAGAACTTTTAAAACTTACTTTGAAATACGCCAGTTCTTTACCTATCTCTATTTCCGTTTCAGTTGCTGTTTAGTTTTCTCAAATATCTGATGTGAAATCCTATCACACATTCAGCGCTTCAGATAATATGTGTTTTACTCCAGAACAAAAAAAAAAAAAAAAAAGATGATGGTTTGGTTTTATTTTTCTGAGTCAATGATTAATATAGCATACGCTATTAATAAACTCTTGATTGTCCTGCATTTCACTTGCGTGAAAAAGCATAGCGCGTAAGGATTGAAAAAGTAAATTGGAAAGTAATAAACCTAATTAAGATAAAAGCAAAAATGGAAAAACATTTTTTTTTTTTTAAAAACATTCCATACAGCGTGTCTAAGTAACATGAGTAATGAAACTGTTGCAATGAAGCCCTGAGTAATGCGTTAAAAATTGTGTTTGCCACAGATGGACCAGTCGTCTCCAACCTACATGCTTGCCAACTTAACCCACTTGCATTCTGAACAGCTCCTGCAAGGCTTGAACCTCCTTCGCCAGCATCACGAGCTCTGCGACATCATCCTCAGAGTCGGCGATGTCAAGATCCACGCCCACAAAGTGGTGCTTGCCAGCATCAGCCCCTACTTCAAAGCCATGTTCACCGGGAACCTCTCGGAGAAGGAGAACTCGGAGGTGGAGTTCCAGTGCGTGGACGAGGCGGCGCTGCAGGCCATCGTGGAGTACGCCTACACCGGCACCGTCTTCATCTCCCAGGACACCGTGGAGTCGCTCCTTCCCGCTGCCAACCTGCTCCAGATCAAGCTGGTGGTGAAGGAGTGTTGTGCCTTCCTGGAGAGCCAGCTCGATCCCGGCAACTGCATCGGGATTTCCCGCTTCGCCGAGACCTACGGCTGCCACGACCTCTACTTGGCTGCTAACAAGTACATTTGTCAAAACTTCGAAGATGTTTGTCAGACAGAAGAGTTTTTTGAGCTGACGCACGCTGAACTGGATGAAATCGTTTCCAACGACTGCCTGAACGTTGTGACGGAAGAGACCGTGTTCTACGCGCTGGAGTCCTGGATCAAGTACGACGTGCAGGAGCGGCAGAAGTACTTGGCACAGCTGCTCCACTGCGTCCGGCTGCCGCTGCTCAGCGTCAAGTTCCTCACCAGGTTGTACGAAGCAAACCATCTCATTCGTGACGACCATACCTGCAAACACCTGCTAAATGAGGCCCTGAAGTACCACTTCATGCCTGAACACAGACTGTCCCACCAGACCATGCTGATGACACGACCTCGCTGCGCTCCAAAAGTTCTGTGTGCTGTCGGAGGGAAAGCTGGACTCTTTGCCTGTTTGGAAAGGTAAGTGATAGTAAAGGCCTTGCAGCACTTGGCATGGTGTGACATTCATGGTCGTTAGTGCCTGGAGGCAGTGGAAGAGCTGTGCTCTGCAGGTCTGTAGTTACTCCTCGCCTTTGTAAGAACTCTGCTTAAGTAGATTTTTTTGTTTGTTTGTTTTTTTTCCGGACAAGGCCAAGCACTGAATCCAAAATGCATTCTGATTTCACGAGTAGTCTTCAGGGTTGTGCTAACAGAAATAGCTATAAAATCTTATCATTTTAATTCTCTTGATTCAGAATTCGGATAATAAAAGCGGTTGATAAAAGTTTGTATGCTACTTTATCCTTCAGGTCTTTCAATTTTACATAATTTTTCCCTGATATATTATTATTCCAGGCCATCATATTGTAAAATTTAGCCTAATATGTGACACATATGCTTCCTGGTAACTCAGAAGTCCTTGGATTTAAGATAGACTTAATCAGAGTAGAGCAAAGGGGTAATTCTTAGCAATGTCACCCTCTTGACCTTCGTGTCATCACGCCTTCCCTCTCAGCCTCTGGGGCAGAGGGAATCCCTGCTGGCAGAAACAGGGACTGGCCCATCCAGTTTTTACCCAGTTTTCACCATAAACCTCCTCTTCAGTTACTGGAGCACATCCCTGAGGCTAACTGTGTAGCAGAAGGGGTGTAACAGAGAGAAAAATCTCTTTCTTCCCCATACTGGTAGGGTTGGGTTCAGCCACCACGTTGTATTAACATCGCCAGAAGTAGGAGTTAAACTGTGTGACTCCACATGCGTGTGTACTTACAGATACACACGCACTACTCTGGTGTGGAGTGTGCCCTTATCAGCTCAGTAAGTGCCTCCTGTGTCAGGGCACGCTACCCACACTGGTTCTGCAGCTCAATCCTGGGGTAATATTTTACTCCGAGATACTCTTTTCTGTGACAGTTCTGTGCTTGCATGTGTGTATATATATATATATATATATATATATGCACTTAAAAACCTGGGAAGATTGGTATTTTCTTCCTCTCTGTGTTTAGACTCATCAAAGTTACTTAAAAATAACTTTCCTGATAATAGGGATCGATAGTAAACTACATGTTGGGACTGGGAATTGTTGGGTTTATAGACTGAAAAAGTAAAATTAAAAAATCCATTTGTTTGAGTGAATAAACTTGCCCTCTGACATTCTTCAGCTCTGTTTCTTTCACAGCTTCTTCAGTGTTTGTAACAATATTACATAACAATGTAGTTTGGATTATTTTGATTTAAAAAAAACCCAAAACAAAACAAAAATGCTCTTTACTACCTTAACCATGTTTTAATGCATACAACAATTTGTTCTTCCTTAATTTGTTATTCGTATTCTTTCTTAAACTGTCATTTCAGTTAATACTTAAGTTTAAATAATTACTCTTGACATACAAGAAAAGTCACAGGTTGCTTAAATAATATCTAATACAGTTAAAATTGTGAGGTATAGAATCACAGGATGGTTTGGGTTGGACGGGACCTTAAAGCCCACCCAGTGCCACCCCCTGCCCCGGGCTGGGCCACCTTCCCCCAGCCCAGGTTGCCCAAAGCCCCGTCCAACCTGGCCTTGAACCCTTCCAGGGAGGGGGCAGCCACAGCTGCTCTGGGCAGCCTGTGCCAGGGCCTCACCCCCTCACAGGGAAGTAGGAACCCCTAATTCCACTGTTCTCATTCTACTTTTCGTTGGTACTTGCAGAAAGGCTGTTTTTTTCACTTACAGTTAGTTGCTGCTTTGTGATAACAAAATTACTTCCAATATATTTAATCCTGCTCGTTTCTAACTAGGCTGATACTGTCAGGAGCCAGTCTGGTGTTTCAGCAGTCCCTGCTTCTTAGTCAGTGGCTACCGGCTCTCCAGTGGCTTCATTTTCTTGGATGTTGTTTGAACAGATCATATTTCCTATGTACTAGAGAGTCTTTTAAATCATTTAAGTAATTAACTAAACTATGTAGGTGGATTGACTGGACTTCATGCGTGATAGGCTAGAGCTACCGTATTTTAACTAATTAATTTTAAAAAAGGCAAATAAGCAGTATTTTGAAAACTGATTTTTCAGATTGCTTTGTTCTACTTTGACATTTCATTGAAATTACACAGTGCATGCCAAATATGTACCTATCAAACTACAAATTGTACCTGCCAGGGATGTGTTTGTAGGTATTTATAGACATGTGCTTCCCCCTCTCTAATTCTCCTTTCCTCTCTCTCTCTCCCATCTCTGTGACTGTTCTTTTTTTTGTTTTCCAGCTTTCCCTTCCTGTCCCTTGGCTTTGTGTTTTTAGCTTCCCCCAGTCACAGCCTACCTCAAAAGCTGCTGTGCCATCAGCCCTGCATTGTCTTCCCTCCGTTACCCGCGATGCCTCCTGCCTTCTCCCTGCTCTGCCTGGTTTGTGCTTTCAAAATCCATCATTTCAGGTCTTGGATTTGGTGCCGTGGCTGCTTGCTGGGCTGCTGCATCACCCTGGGGTTTTAACTCTTTAGAGCAGAAAACGGCGTTTGTTTTTAGCTTATGTCTGGGCTGTTGGAAGAAACAGCAAACATTGGATGGGGCATATGAAATAATCTTAAGACCGTGTTCTTTGATGCTCATTTGCAGTCCACACAGCTGCAGAAAGCTGCATTTGCTCACATAGTCTTTGTTTTTCTATTTCAGTGTTGAAATGTATTTTCCCCAGAATGACTCTTGGATAGGCCTGGCACCTCTTAGCATTCCCCGCTATGAATTCGGAATATGTGTCCTAGACCAGAAAATATACGTTGTGGGAGGGATTGCGACCCACGTGTGCCAAGGCATCAGTTACCGGAAGCACGAGAATTCCGTGGAGTGCTGGGACCCTGACACCAACACCTGGACGTCTCTGGAGAGGATGTTTGAGAGCCGGAGTACTCTGGGGGTGGTGGTGCTGGCCGGCGAGCTCTACGCCTTGGGTGGCTACGACGGGCAGTCGTACCTGCGGACTGTAGAGAAATACATTCCTAAAGTGAAGGAGTGGCAGCTCGTGGCCCCAATGAACAAAACAAGAAGCTGTTTTGCTGCAGCTGTCTTGGATGGGATGATATATGCCATCGGGGGTTACGGCCCTGCCCATATGAACAGGTATGTGCTCTTGGTGGGTGTAGCTCCATGTCGTAAGCTGGAAATCAGCAAAACTCACTATTAAGATTTTGTTGTTGGCAGCCAATTAAAAAATATTCTAAGGTAGACTAGTAATCCGCAGCGGGCCTCATTAATTCTTGTTCTGCAGTATCAGTTTAATAATTCAACTGGGAAATCTTTATTTTAACTTCACATGTTCCAGCTCAGACCTGGTTTCTTTGTGCTGGGTTTGGGTTTGAAATCCTTCAGAAGGGAAAATGATAGAGATGTGTCTGTTTATCACTAAGCAAGGTGGTGCAAGACCCCTGGTCTTGTAGACCCCCGGGGGCTGGGCTGTGGGGCTTTGTGTGCTCAGGTCCCTGGGCAGCGTCACGGCACTGCACCACAGCTGCTGAGCTCTGGGGAGAGCCTTGTGCCAGCACCGTGCAAATCCTTCTACCCCCAGCCTGCAAAATATCAGGCAGCGTGGTTAGCTTTGACGTTTGAAACGCTGAGTTGACATGAATAGGATTTTTCACATGCTTAATATACACCTTGGGTGGAATCTTAAAGTACTCGTGATGAGGATAATAAAGTTGGTGGTTCCTGCTCTGGCTCCTGGGTGGAAGTGGGTTTGCTTCAGACCTCACCTTTCCTGGTACCAGCGTGCCCTTGGATTGCTCTGTTCCACATCACTCCCTGTGGATGGACAGGGGCATTTACTTATGCAAAGAAATAATTTCTACTGTTTTCATCATTAAAATGGGGATGAATCAGCCCTGTGTCCCTCCAGGAAGCAAATTAATAAACTACAAATGTAAAAAGCTGAATAAAGAATGAAAATTAGGATCTTGCTTGCAGGAAGGAACACATTGATTGTTTAAGAATGTAGTATAACGGTGCTGTGCTAGTCATTAATTGTGCTTCTTACACTCGATACGTTTTTACATAAACCAGTTTGTGAAGCAAAGGATTTGTTCTAAAATAGGAAAGTATAGAGAAGTAGTAAACAAGTTTTTAAATTACTGAAATAAAACCAGCAATAACTTAAACTGCTTGGTACAGTGGTGACAGGGTTTTATGAAGCTTAATGTGACATTCTTCTGATTTCTTCTATTTTAAATTATGAACCATAATAGCAGTTGAAGTACTTCATAGACAAGCAAAACCATCTCTGAAAGTTTTCTTCACATGGGAATTTGCAAATTCGCAGTAAATTTGCAGTAAAAGCAAGCTGCCTGCTGTGCAGATGAGCACCTTCTCTCCAACTCTAGCGCTTCAGATTTTCTCTTCCCCTCTTCTCTGTCCCCTTGAAGCTTCACTTTGGACAGGGCAGGGCTGCTTGCCAGGAGGGTGTTAATGACTCTGACCCTCTGTACAGCCCCAGAGGTTAAAAAAAGCAGTAACGATGATGATGATTCATTTCTACTGTATCCTGAAAGCCTCTTCTGTCCTTAGTGTTGAGATAAGCAGCCTCTTTACTGCTTTTCCTGAGAGATACCTCTCCTCAGTTTTTTCTCTGTTATTTTCAGGCAAGCCTCGAGGAAGTTTTTGATTTGATGTGTTACCCAAACAGATACACTTCAGATCTGTGTTGTGTTCGGTTTCTCATGAGTTGCTTTTTCCCTAAATAGCAGCAGCCATCCTTGAAAGAGCTTTCAGTTCTGAGGCCAGCTTTGAAAAATTGTGCTTTGTTTCAATCTGCAACCTGAAGATCCAGGGTAGTGACGTGAGGACACCGGTGAAGCAGTTGCTGTGTCGGGATGAAATATGTTAAAACTGCTTTTCTGGCAACACTCCGTCGAGAACCTCCAGCTGCTTTGTGTTCTCGAAGGACCCTGGGGTGTGACTGTTGCTTCTGAGGTGATAACACTGGCATTTGTGCTACTGCTGGGTGGTGCGAGGCAGCCACGCTGCAGATTTTGCCATCAGCTCAAGGCTTTTTCTCTATGTTGGGTTATTCCCCTGTGGGGTAGCACTGGCTGGCAGAACTGGACGTGCCTCTGATAAACTCAGATTTCTCCTGGGGGTGACATTGAAGCGACGCTAAAATCCAGGCCTCACAAGTTGTTTGTTTGCCTTGGCAGCATGGAGCGTTACGATCCGAGTAAAAACTCGTGGGAGACGGTCGCTTCCATGGCTGATAAGCGAATAAACTTCGGTGTCGGTGTCATGCTGGGCTTCATTTTCGTGGTGGGAGGACACAACGGTGTGTCTCACTTATCGAGCATCGAGAGATACGATCCTCACCAAAACCAGTGGACTGTGTGTCGGCCCATGAAGGAACCCAGGACAGGTAGGAACAGCCCACGCTGCCAGCGGTTAACTCGGGTGCCCTTTCGGAAAGAAACTGTCCTTTGTCCCAACAGAAGCTGCAGTAAAGTTGCCTACAGAGCATTGCTCTTCACCTGTGAATGAAAATCAATCAGCTCCATGAAAGAATGAGTATTTATTTCTCTAGCTTTAATTAGAGTCCAGATTATTAATGCTGAGCTGTAACAAAAATAACATGAAGTAATATTTCTATTCCGCCTTCTATTTTTTCACTGATTTTGAGTGAGTTTCTGTTGGTTGCTGTTCTATTGTATTTTATTTTACGTGGAGACTGAGTAGGGCATCCTCTCTCCTGCCTCCCTGACGAGGAGTGTTGGGGCAGAAGAGCGCATTGCTTAGTCATAGGAAAGGGCATGAGAACAGTAAAAAAGGAGTGGAACCCTGTACAGAGAGGGACTCGCTTTCTTTAAAGACAGACCGAAAAAGAAGAGGCTGTGAGAACTTTGTTCAGCCTGCAGGCGGGGAGGGTGTTGTTTCCATGTAGGAACAGAAATACTCCTTCTTTCCACACTTGGTGATCATGCAATCTTCTTTTTATCTTTTTTTTTTCTTCTTCTTTCCAACAGGAGTCGGTGCAGCCGTAATTGATAACTACCTTTATGTAGTTGGAGGTCATTCGGGGTCGTCCTATCTGAACACTGTACAGAAATACGACCCCATCTCGGATACCTGGCTGGACTCTGCTGGGATGATGTACTGTCGATGCAATTTTGGTTTGACTGCACTTTGATGAAAAGCAGGACTTTATGGACCTGGTGGAGCTTAACCTGCTTGAAAATAAACCCTGCTGGTGGAGACCGTAAGCTGCGTTTTCTGAAGCTGGGAAGTCGGAGGAGCGTGGTGAAGTTAGGGTTGAAATGAGGAAGGATTTGTTTTCTTCCAGTAATGGGCCTTTGTTACGTTAGTGACGCGGGCAGGACGACGGGAAAGCTTGTTACCAGATGGGTTTAGCATCCTCCTGATGGCAGTGAATTCCAGAGAGTACTGTAATGTCTGGGATTTGGTTAGAAAACTCACTGTATATCTAACCCTTTCACTTTCTAGAGCTTTCCTCTCTTCCTCCTGCCTACTAGGAAACATGAAGTTTACTGTGCTTGGGGTGAGAGACGTGTGAGTGTGCTGTAGGACTGGACAGCTCGCTGGTGGTCGTCTGGATGTGTCTTCATCTTAGGGAAACGCCAGTGCTTCATCATTTTTTTTATGAACAGTAACTAAAGGGCTGCCTTGTTTCTGTATCTCAAGGTTTGTAAATAATAAATGCCATAGTCTGTTGCCTGTACACTCTCCTTTGTTACTCGCTTACCTGTAGGAGGGCTGGGATGGTAATTAGTGACCACGTAAGGAAATTCACAAGGCAGATTTATTGCCTCTTAATGAAATTTTTGGATCTGATGAAATCACGTTTTGAACTTCCCTTATATTTTCTTTGAGTGGATAAATGAGCGCTAGATTGAACGACTTCATCTTGCTAGTCTGCTGTGTGTTTTCAGTCGTAACACAAGGAACAGTGACAGCAGTAGCGTGTGGGGAGATGCCACAGCAGCGTTCGTAGCCTGATATAAAATAAATACTCAGACATGAATCCCTCCCATCCTTCTCCCAAGCGCACTTGTGTCCGTATTCCGTATAACTTCCTTTTTTAAAAGAATGTATGATTGCTTTCTCAGAGTGTTCAGATATAAAAATGGTGCTAAATGTAGGACTTAACAATAAGGCTGTTACTGATTTTAGTGCAGTATGCATAAAGCATGATTGTTTTTGATTGTTCTAGTGTTTTTGTTCCTTATTTGCTTGATACATTCGTGCCTAAGAAAATTGTCAAGAATAACACGATGTACTGAATGAGCTCTATGTTTGTCACGTTATTTTTTTTTTTTTCCAGAAGATCTACGTTTGTTGTTCCTATTCTCACAAACACATAAATAGGGAGCGAGTAGTCTCGGGTTCTTCAGCCTTGCCTTTATCACCAGTCGTGGTGAATGAAGAGCACGGGGTGGAGTTGCTCCTCCCAAGCGTGTCTCCTGCGTGACAGAGCACTGAGGGTCGGTTCCTCTGACTGACCAGAATCTCAGGAGATGCAGCTTTGGGACAGCCCTCAACTTAGAGAAAACTTGGGCAGAGAAATAGAAAGTGAGGCTGCGGGTTGTAATCGTTATTTAAAACAGATGACCGCATAAATACGAATTTTTAGCTAATTTAGAATGCTTTGGTTTGTCTTCTGATTTTAACTAGGAATCATGGTTATCTTGAATTTCTGTTTCAATGTCTGTACGTCTATTGCCAGGCCTGGTACTGAAGAATTTTTCTGCCTCCAGAGTTCTTTTCCCCTTGTTTTAACATGTTAATTTAATGTTTGTTTCCCCTTGTTTTTCTAGCCTGTGTAGTATTATTTTTGAAGGTGCAATAATCTTTAAAATAGTCGCTTTAAAAGCCATTTCTTGGTAGGTTTGTGAAGTGGAGGTTTTTTGAGTGTACTTGATTTATTCTAGGTCCCTGCAGAGCTCGTTGCACCTGGCGGTTCTCCTTGTTCTTCCGTACTCTACCGTGCAGATTTTTAGCAGTCAAGGAGGCGAGGCCGTTCTCACCATAAAACGTTATTCATTGATAACAGGTGTTTGCACAGACCGTGAGATCCTGCACGAATTCTTCAGATTTGGTAGAATTAAGCAGGACTTCAAAAGCAAATAAAATGGAACAGGGTCAGTGTTTTCAGTGCGGTTTCTTTGACCCAATAAGGATTCCAGTTTATATAGCAATAAGAGCGTAAATTAATGATTCCGGGGATTCTGTGGATAGGACAGGTGTAGGTACCCGGTGGTGTGTTGCGTGTGGGTGTGTGGGGAGGAGGAGCAGGGGGAGCAGCGCTGGGGCTGGGGCCCAGGAGGTGTTTCAGCCTGCTGTGTAGCTCGCCTCGTTCTGTCAGGGTAGGTGCACAAACTCGGCGCTTCCGTGGGCTGTTCCGCAGAGAGGCCCTTGGTGGTCACGTTGTCCAGTGTACGCCAGAGATAAGGGTGCTTAAAAAAACGATATTAAAATAAGAACAATTCCTTGCCTAACGCTGATGGGCTTTCCACACAGTTTGGTACCGTACCTGCCAGAGCTTAACTGCAGAGGCACTCCGTGGATGAAGGTGTTCCTGGTTGGAAATACCAGTAAACACCACGTGCAGTTGGTAGAAAGCGGTGCAGGGTACAGAAAACATTTTGGCTTCCATCAGAGCAAGAGGTCAAGGTGGTGTTGATGGTTACTCGGTGTTCATATAAGCATCTTTCATTTAGGGAAGTCAGAGCACTTAAAATTACATAATGTTTTATTCTTTTTACCTGGGCAGCAGCAACGATAAATCAGGTCACAGAGACTGACCCCGTATTGTATAATGTGCTATTGCTGAATTTAAAATAGCAGCATAAACGATTTTTTTAGTGTGCAGGCTTGGTCTGAAGAACAGGAAAAACGCCTAATGAAATATCACTGTTAGATGAACTGTTTAGCTGGCAACAGCTTGAAGAGTACCAACCCCCCGGGGTCGTGTCACTTAAAACCACGCCACCTTCATTTTCTGTTCTGGGTGCTTGTTGTCCTGTTCACTGAAGTGCTTGGTTATAGGGAGATCAGACACAACAATCCCTTTAAATCTGTGTTTGAAGAAAAGTGCTCTCATCCTAATGTCTGTCTTGCCGTTTAAAAATTAAGGACCTTCAAATTTAAGGTGTCATACAACTATAAATTATCATCCAGTTCTATTTCTTAATCACTCAAAATTCTCTGTAAAGCACTTTAAAATGGGTATGAGTTTATATGTGTACGTGCAGTTCTTGAATTTCTGCCTTTTTTTTTTTTTTTCCTAGCTATTCATCTGTAAGCTTCTTGACAGCCTCTCCTCCTAGGAACGCTTTTCTTTCAGAAATCTAGTTGGAATTTCTAGAGGGGCAAGTGTGTCCAGTCTGCAGTACAAGCAGTTAACTGTTTCTGGGAGATAGTGTGTTACTTCTGTGAATTTGCCATCTGTAAGTCCCCATTCACTCTATGAAACAATGCAAATTGTCCAAACTTGCCTTAAATTCTTGATATTTAACTGAAACGCAAAGAACTGGATGATAATTCCTATTTTTTTGCCTTATGCGCTGTGCTGTATTTTAAACCCAAGGATAACTCTAATTTTTAGCAGGATTTAATAACTGTACAGAGAATACCAAATTGTACTCGGACTTGACCAGAGTGCTTTGGTTGGGAGTATAAAATGGTATATGTAGTTCCGTGTACGTAGAGTGTTTTTACGTGTTCATCTTTTCTAGCAGCGATGTTCTGGTTTTGTTATTGTTTACAAAAGTGGCATTTGAGTTCAACAGGAAAATAACTGTAACCTGCATTCTTGGTCTTTACTAGCGTTCTCAACGTGTTTGCTGTTGTGACAAAATGCTCTGTAAGTATTGTTGTAATGATTTCATTGAATGTGAAACAATTTAGTAAATAAACCTGGGGAAAAACTTATTTTCACACGTTTTGTTGGATGGTGACTATAAACGTGCTGTCGCTTCAGCCTTCTGGTGCAGTAACACCTCTGAGTTGTTACTCCAGGTGGAGATACCTCAGCCCTGCCCGGTGAGAGCTGGAGTGAAGGGCAGGAGGATGCTGCCCCGTCTCGGAGGGGGTGAGCTGGCTGGGGGACCCTGACCCCCAAAACCACCTGACAGGGTCTTTCTGTGCGAGCCACACTGTCGTGGGGAGGACCAGCACCCCCGAGCCGCTGCAGAAACCGCCTGCTCAGGGCTGCAAATAAATAATTTCAGCCTGCTGTTCCTCTTTCACCTTTGTGGCTTTGGCAATGTTGTGGCTAGGGGTGGTGGTTTACACAGAGGAACACCAGGCACCCCTCCCTGCAGGGGTGAAATGGGAATTCAAGGTTTGGCTGTTATACAGTAAAATTACTTTTTCGCTGTCTTAATCTAAATACAGGCAGAAATGGCTGGGGTTTTTACACAGTTGGGAGCAGGGTTGAATGCTGAACTCTCTTGCCCAAGGCCTGAATTCAGCTTCACGGTGCTGCCGTAGGAGGTGCCATTCACCACTGCTACTCAGATGTGCCCTTAGAAGTCACGTAATTGTGGACTCCAGCTGCCTTTTATAGTCTTAGTTGTGCTGAAGCTGGCACAAAAGAAAAATACTCAAGTGATTTTTCTTGGGGAGGGGGGAAGATTTACTACGTTAATAAGACTTTCAGGTAATACCCCTCAAGGACTCAGTTTTAGCTGTCCCTAAGTTTAAAGGTTGCTATTACACACTGGTGTGGCAGCTGCTTCAGAGCACATTTGACAGACAGACAGGGCAGGTGAAGATTTCTTTCAGTTTATTTTAGCATAAAGCTTTTTAAAAAAAAAAAAAAAAGATTGTGTCAGAAAAATCAGAAAAATTCTAACACCTGACATAGCATTTGGCTTAAAGCAGCCGTTGGGAGTACTGTAGTCCTCATTCTCTTTGGGTCTCAAATATACTTAGTGCACAGAGCTTAATTTTAGGAATGGGCAGGAACATAAAAAGGGAACATAACTCAGGGGGTACGAGCTGTCTGATATTAACTAGAGATGGAAAAAAATATAAAAAATGGTGCTTTATATTAAAAACAATAATTGGTAAGCCTACCATGGGTGCATGCAGTAAACGCTGATGTGGGAAGCTGCAGTATGGTGCTTTTCTTTATTTCGATAAACCTTCCAATAAATGTCTGGAAACGGAGAGCACAGCCCTCCCGGGCAGGTGCTGCTGGCGGAGGGAGCGTGGGGCAGGCGCCTGCCCTCGCCCCCAGCCCAGCTCCCGGGGACCTGTCCCCTTCCCTGAGGTGACCTGATTTTCCTGTTTTTCAGCTTATGAAGGTTTACTCCAACTATTACATTCCTTGGAAAACATCCCTTTGCTGGCTGTGTCCCCTCCCTGGCCCGGCCGTGCCAAGGCTGGAGCAGGCAGCTTGGCTTTTTGTGCTTCTCGGCAACAAGAACCTGGATTTAACTGAAAAAAATGAAAAAACGGGAGAAGTGAGAACTGGGAGCAAAGTAAACTTGGATCAGCATTACATGAAACATCTCAAACGGTACTTTTCTTTTGCTACTAAAGTTCCAGTCTAGAAAAAAACCCAAACCATTATTATCAGGTGTGGTAGGCACAGAAATTCTCAGCTCTTGTGATTTTTCCCAAGTCAGAATAAGGGCTGTTAGGTAAAAACAAAGCACCCGGCACATTTCAGCCTGCACTCGGTGCCTTCCCAGCTCCCTCCGGGGACCACGGCCAGCTGAGGCTTGACTCCACCAGGAATTCCTCGAGGAGGGGGGAAATAATGATGATCTGGTGGTTAAACCGTAATAATCTGCAAGAGCAGTCATGACAATTGTTTCTAGAAGTCACACACATAAAAATCGTTTGGTGAAAGCTCAGCTTTAAAGTAGAATAAAAAGATGCATTTAAAAGGTATTTATTTCTTGTCTGCCGCTGTGTGGGTCGGAGCAGTCTGACAGCCAGTCCTGGAGCCCTGGGGGCTGCTGCTCCCAGCTCTGGCCCCGTCACGCTGCTGTGGCTGCTGGCCCCTTCTTCCCGCCAGTGTTTGAAGCTTTTGTGATCAAATCTCCTTACCCAGGTACTGCTTTAATTTACTATTGATGCACTTTCACGAGCTCCGGCACATACAGGATCAGAGTACTTTGATTTTAAGACTTGGCATAAAAACAATTATCGCCCTGTAAAATGAGACCTATTCAGTCATTTAAAGGGTTTTTCCATCATCTTGAACTTTGTCAGAATTAAAAATTGCAACGATGATGTCTTAATGACTCTGCAAAGCAATTTTTTTATAGCTAGAGAACTTAGGAGCTGCACAAACTGCAGACTGCATACCTATTTCCCAGCATTTCTGTAGTTCTGAAATGCCTTTGGCAAGCGAGGAAAAGATTTGGAAACTCTATTACAGAGTGCTCAGATCGTGCGTGAGCTGGAAGCACATGTCTGTCCTCCACGGATAGATGTAAGTGTTCCCAAACATTAACGTGTCACCTGGAAAAAAACAGGATATTGGCGAAACTGAAATAATTTCATGACAGAGTATACTTGAAAATACAAATACCCCTCTGATGATTTCATTGTCGTCTTAAGCAACACGGCGATGAGTTACTCTCCCTTCAGCTGTGCTGGAATGACCATCTATCCAAACTGCTCTGGGGTTCCCATCGTGCAGGCACTGAGAAAAACTTGTCCCTGATCTGCCCCCGAGAGCTGCCCGAGTCCCGCGAGGCGAGGGGCAGCACCGTGGGGTTCCCTGCGGCCTGGCCAAGCCAAGGAGCAGAAACACTTGCCGTAAGCCATGGGCTGCTGTAAGGACCTTGGGGGCGTCTGGAGAGGGCAGAAGAGCTGAGCCCCCCTGCACTGTACCTCCCCCGAGCCCTGCAGCCCCTCACCACGCCTCGCCCAGGCCTTGCCCAGTTCTGGAGGAGACCTGGAGGGGAAATCCTTTCTACAGCCTGCCTTGGGCGGGCGGGCATGCGAGCGCCACCGGCCGCTGCCCCAGGGAAAGCAGCTCCCGCCTGCCCAGACCCCAATTTGGGCTCTTTTTGCCCCCGGCTTCTCACCAGGAGAATCCCTGGGCAGCTCCGCGGTGACAGCGCAGGTGGGGAGCGGGAGCAGGAGTCATCCAGCGCCTGGATTGTGCCAGAACAAGTCACCACGTAGCCTGACTTCTGTTATTAATCCTCCCAGAGAAAAACACTTCTTATCTTGAGGAGTCACGCGAAGAGCCGTTCTGTGGTGGTGTCCTTGGGAAGGGCCACACAGCCAAGCTGGTGCCCAGCACCCTCCCCACTACTCGGCGTGGGGCACCCCATCTCCTGCACCCACCCGTCCTTCACCCAGGCTGTTCCGGCACCTGTGGGCACAGCACCAAGAAGCCATTTTGACTCGCACAGCTTGTCCTGATCAGGTGCTCTCACACCGCAGTGCTCTTGGCAGTTTCTCAGTTTCTCACAGATGACCATTTCATCGCTCGCCGTGTTTGCCCAGGACTGCCCCGTGCGGAGGCAGATCCCCCTTGGCTGCGGTGAGACGCTGCCCACGGGACTCCTCGGCCTGGTGGGACGTGACCCTGCACCTCTCCCCCTGCCTCCTCGCCCTAGCTGATGCCCTGGATCTGGGGACCGCAGGGCTAGGGAAGGTGGAGGAGAACAGTGAAGTGCTTTTATCTCAAAACCTAGTTCTTCAGAATATGTAGAACAGCGTTTAACTAGAAGGGAAAAAGCCTTTGCCCTTTGTTTCTCCAGAGGAGAGAAAAAACTTCATTTTCCCCCTCTCAGGGAGCCGTGCAGCAGGTCATGTTCTTCGGCGCCGCTATTAGAAATTCAAGTCCCGTGCATTTTGAAGTAGAAAAATGATATTGCTTTCAGTGATGTTACTTGAGAGTTAGAGTTGAGTGCATGCTTGAGTGCTTTATTTAATTGGAGACGAAATTCAAATACCAATAGCTTTAAGCTGCAAATTTGGGTACATATTTTAGTCCTAAAGCCTCCAAGCTGCAGAGCGGTTGTTGGGCCCATTATAAAAGTTGGGATGCAGCAGGTATTTCAGTCTGATGTGGGCCTGGATTTGCCTTGCAGGATCCCTCCGTGCTCGTTGAACAATGCAGAGCGAAGGGATCACGTTCTGCATTATTAACAGGTAGGTTTTAAGGTTCTCACGTGGGCTAAACGAAATGCAATAGTCTGCACCTCTCAGCTGCACGACTGCTGCAGGCAGCAAGGGGTGATGGAACAAGGGGGAGCCCTATTGAATCCCTCCCCCCGTCTCCAGAGGGCTGCTCCGCACTCCCCCGGCCCTCAGCAGACGTTTCCCAAGGAACGCGCCCACGGCGGGGCAGAAGCTGCCCGGGAGTGGGTGTCCCAGTGGGTGTCCCAGTGGGTGTCCCAGCAGGACCCCAGGGGCCAGGCTGGTTCCCAGGGCTACGGAGGGCGTGAGCTGAGCAGGGACGAGCAGAAACCTCGCAGCTAAGGCTGGGAGAGTTGGGGGGTTCAGCTGGAGGAGAGAAGGCTCCGGGGAGACCTTAGAGCGGCCCCCCAGGGCTGAAAGGGGCTGCGGGAATGGGGGGGGACTTGTCATCAGGGGGAGGGACAGGATGATGGGTGATGGTTTTAAAATGACAGAGGGGAGATTTAGATGAGATGTAAGGAAGAAATTCCTCCCTGTGAGGGGGTGAGGCCCTGGCACAGGCTGCCCAGAGAAGCTGTGGCTGCCCCCTCCCTGGAAGGGTTCAAGGCCAGGTTGGACGGGGCTTTGGGCAACCTGGGCTGGGGGAAGGTGGCCCTGCCTGGGGCAGGGGGTGGCACTGGATGGGCTTTGAGGTCCCTGCCAACCCAAACCATTCCATGATTCTGTGACCCTACAGCTACTGCCAGTGCAGAAGCTGAGGGAAGAGGCTTCAACCCGGCCGGGAGAAGAACGTGTGGCCTCACAGC